AAAATCTGTTCAGAATTCTGAGGTTTTAAATTTGGTCTATAGACAATTTCTAGTTACAGTGCTATGAAATCTGAATAAAAGCTTTTCTCAATTTCTTCGTGTAAAATTTTGAGTGAGTGCACAGTGGTATATCTATGTTTCCGTTGTTGGCAACTTATATTGAAAAATAGACTATTCTAGTAGTCATCTGGTTTTAAGAAGAGAGCATTGCTTATTTCCAAATTCAAAAGTATAGTCTGCTCATCACAGGCAGAACTGAGACCCTGGTTCCTGGCACAGTTTAGGCAAAGATGGATCATTTATGTATACGCGTATTTTCTCTTACAGCATAGGTGGAGAAGTAGTGAGAGGAAATGAAGGAAGCTACGTGGGGAAACATTTCCGCATGGGATTTATGACAATGCCTGCTCCTCAGGACAGACTACCACATCCTTGCTCCAGTGGCTTTACCGTGAGATCCCAGTCTCTTCATTCTGTTGGAGGAACCGATGATGAAAGTAGCAGCTCTCGTAAGCAGCCACCTCCAAAACCTAAGCGAGACCCCAACACCAAACTGAGCACCTCATCTGAAACAGTCAACACTGGAACAACAATTAAAAGTGGGAAACTACCAGACAGGACTGAAGGTAAACACTATAATTCTTTGGAAAAAAAGATTTTTGGTGACCCAGTGTTAAGATTCTCCAGTTGATAATAACGCATTTAAGAATTATCTGTACGTTTCCCTATCTGTGTAATGGTGCCAGCACAGGTATCCTAGATCACTGTTCTCCAAATCTGGGACCAGTGGGTAATTGCCAACCTTTGACATTTCTCACAGAACTGAACCACTTACATGGCCTAGTTATATACTGGGGAATGCGTTGAATTTATTCAAAACAAAGGGAAAAAGAGATTGCTATCAGATGGCATGGAGGACAATGTTATCTGCATGCCATCTAAGGACCACTCATTGTATCAGTAGAACTGTTGAAACCACTTCTTTGGAAAGGATCCTTCTCAACAAAGAAGTGAAGAACAGAAATCGTTAAAGAGAATATTACGTGTCCCTAAAACTCTACAGCAAGGAAATACCATCCAGTGGTAAAAATTGCACCTGAAATGGTATAATGTATTGCCCAAAGCTTCTATTTGCATGAGTCTACATTTTCTCTTCCCATTCGTCCCAGTTACATTTCAGCAATGCAACATTCAGAAAATAAACAAATGTGTTGAATAAAGATATCGCTTCCTTACTCTGAACTGCTAAAGATGAGCTAATGCTATAGGGATCTTTTCCTTCCTTTCTTCCATGCTGGAAATGTATTTTGTGCAGCAGTAGGACCAGCTGTACCCCCTGCTAGGAGAGATCAGGATGATTCTGCTTCACAGTGTGAACTGTAAGAAGGAACCCTTAGGGACAAATGGTTTTGATCAGTGCTGGTCTTTCCCACTGCTATGTTACATATTGGTTTTGACATCCCATGCAGTGTGTTGTGCAATTGGTGTGTATCGCTTTTGGTTGTTGTTGTGGTCAGAAATACTTGTTGGTTACATTCACGCTACAACTCCTTTTAAGCAAATCTGATTTAAAAAGTCATCAGTGATAACAGTTGCAAAGGAAAGTATAATTCAACTGATGGCATGTATATCTACGATTGTGAGGTTGAACAGAAACACTGAACAGAACTGTAGATTTATTTATGCTGTTGTTTGTAGTTCTTTTGCCTGTGACTTTTACCATTACATCTGTAGCTTGTCCTTTACAGTGACCGTTACATCAACTCCACTGAACAGACTAACAGGACAAATCCAAGCATTAAGTAGCTACCCTTAATAAAAGTAGTTTACCACAATTTTACTAAACCAAAGCCTACATAGAAACCATTCAGAGGTTCAAACTCAAAAGTTCTTTTAAAAATACTGTATTTTAAAATATTTTTATAATTATTTAATATATATTAGCACTCTTTCTTCCTGAGTCTGCCCAGCCAGAATTACCAAGGCTAAATTAAGTTTGTTTTGCAGACAGAACAGTAAGATAGGCTGTAATGTTTTCTAACTTATTTAATGAATATTCCTGCAAGTGTGCATTGAGTCACATAGCTCTTCGGTATAGCTGGCCTTGGCATTATATCTAGGATGATTAGGAATGAGGTCTGTTTTACATATATCCCCCAGCCTTTTTCCTCATTTACTGAGAAGCAAGAGACTTTGACAGCCTTAAAAGTAGCAATAATAATAATGATAGTGATAATTGAAATACATCAAAGTATTTTACCAATCTCACAGAAGTTATGGCAGACTCCTGAAGCAGTTTGTGTCCTCATGAAACTAGATCTTCTTCAGCATTATTATTATTATGGAAGGTTATGAAAATTTTTCTTCCTTTCCCTCATCTCTCCTGTCATCTGATATTTGACATGAAGCACGTAATATATAGTCATGTGCCTCCTGACAGATTTCATCCAGGCTGGATTTCTAAAATGCTTTGCTGTCACCAGGAGAGGCTTTGTTCTCACCTGTGCACTGCAAGGTAATGTATTTGTTTTGATGAAAGAATTTTCACAGTGATCATCTGACTAGCATAGGAATGTTTATACAAAAACTGTGGTCAGATGTTGATGAGGACATCTAAAGATAAGCAGAACTAGATGAAAGTCAAAGTTCATTATCTGCAGTATTGATTTGATACAAATATTAAACCAATTTTGTCCCAGATTATGAAATTATTATTGTTGCTTTACAATTAAGGAAACCTGTGAAGCTTTTTTATGTACCAGTGTTAAGTTTCTCAATATCTAGTAGTTCTCATTCCGGTAGCAGTCTTTGAATTCAAGAAATTGTAAACCTGCATCTTTCCAGTTTCAGGTAAGATTCGATACTCATGTTTTCCTAGGGAGGTCTTTGGAAGCTCAAGTCCAAGAACATGCAGGTTTAACTTTAAGCCATATTGTCCATATTGTACCCAAATGTTTGTATATGCATGTGCCTCATTCATTTGCATGTACTTGTGGTATTTGCAGGCTGAATGGCTACAGCCTTTTCCAGGAACTATGGAAAACAATGATGAAAAACCCTATTGTTTCTCCATCAACTATTGTGGAATTTCTACAAAGGACTTGTCACAAAATTGTTCCCAGCTCATTTGTTTTTATGGCAATACAGAATAATTCAGATTATAATGTCTATTGTTTGACCTTGTGGCTACTTTGAAAAGGAAATTGCTACATTTCCTAGGCGACCAGGGACAGCTTCAGCTCTGATTTTTGTTAAACACATTTACCCTTTGCTTTTTGGTAATGATCCAGTTTATACAAACAAAAGCACTGACTAATAGTAACTTTTTTTCTTTTTCTGATCATAGTAAAGTCAAAATATTTAATCCATCCCATCATAATAGCTACCATAACATTAGATTATATTTTGAATATGACTCTGACTTTACCGCACAAGCAAGTAGCAGAAGCTTAAAAGTGGTCATGAGCTTGAAAGACCTCCAGAAGCACAAATAGCATCAGTAGCAGCCACATCGGCTCTGTACACTTTTCCTGTAAGTGCTTTTGCTTCCAAATTTGTGGGAGTGTGAGAATCTTCTAAGTTGCCATGGCATGTATTAGCCCTGTCTCATTGTACAGCAGTGTGATAACGCTTTGGTTTCTGTGTCTCATTCCAGTCTACCTTGGCTCTGCCAGAAAAAGCACTCTTCAGCCCCAAGGCCCCATTCTCTTTTACTTGAATTTTGTAGCTGTGTTTCCACACTTTTGTGTCCCTTCTTATGCTTCAATATTCTTTTTTTACTCTTCCGGCTACCTCTCATATGCACCCACTGAACACCTTCCACTCATTGCATTTCTCCTCCGTAACAGATTTCTAGAAGGTTGTTTCTAAAAATGTGGGCTGTCTTTTCTGCAGAGTTTTCAAACTCTGGTAGGAACAGCAAACAAATGTAGCTGTGCCCCATACATCACACTTTGGAAGTGAGAAGTGAACTGAAAAGGGTAATTTTAAATAATGTTTCAGCATGGAAGGCATATCTAACCTTGATCCTGAAAGGCTTTTTATTGAGAAAATGAAGCAGTTTAATTAATTGATGTGCTTTCGGTGCCCAATCTTGCAGAAAAATGAAATAATAAAACAATATAATTGGTGAATGTAACCAGTGGTTTTTGATACAATCAGTGCATGTTCACAAGAAAAGCACAAACATAAATGAAGAGCTGTAAGTGAATTGCATTTTAAAAGTTAACTTTTTGTTAAAATAGTGTTTGGCAATATAGATGATGACTACATTATATAAAAACATGCACATAAAATATATATAATATAATTTAATTTATATATGCATAATGTACACATAATGAAAATGGACAGTTTTACATGCTTGCATGTACATACAAACATGGGCACACAAATGCAAATTATAATCCAGTAGCATTTTCAAAATGCTGTTTGTGGTTGTAATTCTGCTCTTGCCAGAGACCACAGAAGGTTTAGGTCTGATATGTGAAAATGCTTGCAGGGATCATGACCTCTCAAACTCACTCAATTTGTCTAGTGTTTTCCTTCTGAGTGTCATGTGTGGAAGAAGATATCCTTCTTGCTGCTTTCTAAGCCCATACAGTGGAAGCCTTTCTGTGTTGCTCAGCAATCTCTACAGGTGGGCAACTTGTAAGGAAAATTTTCCTCTGGAGGAAAGCAATTACAGTAACTGTAACTGGGGTTGCAGTCCAGCTGCTCTCTCTCATAAATCTAGTTTTCTGTCAGCTAGACTGGTGACTCTGCATTGTAAACTTGGAACTTTTGCTGCTGTCACTAAGCAGAACTTGGATTAAAGGGATTTAGCACTTCTGCTGTTTTTGTGTGGTGCTGGTTTCCTTTTATTTCCTATTTATTTTTTATTAGTGAATAATGCATTTAACCTGAACTTTGAAATAGTGTCTTCTGCAGTAACCATGTCATGTCCTTCCTTACAACCAGATCTTATTCCCCCATCTTTTCACCCATGCCTACTGACAGATGAGTTCTGGTGGGTGTAGTTATGGGCAGTTTAAGATGCTACTGCTTCTGGGCTATCTGCCAGACATGACAACCCGGTGCTGATGTAGCAGAATGCAGTATTTTAGGGACATGGCTTTGAGACACTGGTGTTGCTACACCACCCTGCTGCTGGGCAGGAGCTGTGGCAGGGGAGTAGCATGGGCAGGTCTGGTGAGAAGTATCCTGCAGCAAAGTCTGTCAGAGCCCTGTGCAGTGAGCACGAGATCCATACAGATGGCTCTTGGAACACACTCCTTCTTAGCAAGGGCCAGTCGTCACGGTGGCCTGTGATGCTGCTGCAATGCCGGGTTGTGGGTTGGGGAGCAGGGGAAGGACAGGCTGCGTGGCTGTGGCAGGACGGGGTGTGCTGCTTCCTGAGGTCTGGCCTCCTCCCAGGGCAGGAGGCTCCTCAGGCAGGAGCTCAGCCAGAGCCCCCATGTGTCATTGTGCCCAAGAGGCCTGAGCACTTGCATGTTGTACAGTGGATTTTTTTTTAGTACATTTTCCTCTTTGGAACAGCCTGCTCCATATTTTAAGCACAGCATTTTTTCCCATGAAAAGCTGCAGCTAGCGTTCATGTTGGCTCTACAGGTATAATGCAAGCTGG